CCCTACGCAGGCTCACTGATAGGGTCCTGCTGTGTGGGCTTGGATCAAGCCATTTCCCTCAGCATCGCCTGTCAGACTGAAGTATTCCCACTGCCATGCTGTCCTTGCAGTTCCTGCTACCTTGGTGCCCATCAGCCTCAGGCTTCCCTCAGCACAATGCAAGAGCACTCTCACTGTGTAAGGGCCTCTCATTGTGCTCTCCCAGTTACACCACCTCTGACCTCCCATGGCCATTCTGCTGCCTTAGGTTATAGCTTCCTTAGCTTAGCGCCCTCTTTTGCGTCCTCTTTAGGGTGTTGCCTAACCCTTTCCAAAATGGCTGCAGTGAGAGAAGGCTCCTCGTGACAGGAAGGTTTTGAATGGGTCCGTGACTGCTCCTCTTCTCCCTGGCTCTCCAACACCTCACCTACTGGCAAGCAGAGGGAGAGCTGGCCATGATGCTCTGCCACCCCTAATTGCCAGGTGACAGAGGGCTTTGCTCAGTTTCCACTTCGTTAAAGAACAAATAACCTGGGGCTGTATGTGTCTTTATGCACATATATCCAGAGAGAAGTACCTACTAAGCATTCTGTTGAAGTACTATTTCCGTGTTTTTTCTACACGTTTATTCTGAACTTTCTTGGGCCCTGATCTTTTGGACCTGAGTTCACCAAGTGCATAGAGCTGATTGTCTCTCCCAGTAGCCGTAACCTTCTCTTTAAATAGTTACATTTTATTTCACTCACTTGCTTAGAAATTTGTTAAAATTAGTTTACTGATTCCTCTTCCAGTCTCTTTGTGTTGGATATTTCTGTAGCTCTTAATAATTGCACCGTTCATTTAAATTTTGTTGTACTTATATTAGTAGTTATTTGTAACACCAAAGCTAGCCGTAGATTCCTGTGATTATAGTAGTATTTTCTTTCTTGATCCCAAACAGTTGATGACTATCAGCCAGTGCGTGTATTAAGTATACCTGGGGAGTTAAGAAAAGAATATGAAGAGGAGATAAGTAAGGTAAGTGCTAAATAATTGTCCTTTAAAAAACTTCTCAGCTTTGTTTTCAGTTTTTTACTTACTATACATGCTTATATAAGGAGCTTCAAGTTTGTTGTGAAAATCCATATGTCAATTTTCCACATACTTTTTTCTGTGTGCGACTTAAAACAACAAATTTATTTTCTCAAAATTCTGAAGCTTGTAAGTTGAAAATCAGGTGTCAGCATGGTTAGTTTCTTTTGGGAGCTTATTTCTCGTCGTTTGGAGTGCACTGGGGAACAACATTCAATAACTGGCAAGTAAATCTCTGCTTACACATTAATTAACCAATGTGTATTCTGTCCCTTCACGTTCTGATTTGTGAAATTGGGCCATTGGTTAATGGTTGTATGACATTAGGTTGGTTGTGTGTGTGTGTGTGTGTGTGTGTGTGTTTAACAGCTTTAATATTGGTTATTGAAGCTTCAGCACAGTAAGAAATATTGCACATGATCAACATGTATTGTTCTGGGATGGGGAGGGGAGCAAAATCACCCTAGAAAATACAACCTAAAACAGTTTTATAGAAACTTTTCATTGTTGGACATTGGGCCTCTACTCATGTACTCCCTCAATGCAAGAACACTTT